CCAATGGCATGTTTTTTTTTTTTTCTTTTAGGAATTATTTTATTTAACTTCATTAACTAATTAATTTATTTATTTAGAGGGACAGAGTGAGAGAGAAAGGGAAATTGAGAAAGCAGGCCACTAGGTTCAGGACTCAAACCATGGTTAGCCATGTGGGAGTCTAGTGCCTTTAAACACCACGCCACCTGCCAGTCCCCATGGTATGTTTCTAAAACCACCCAGTTGGGATTCAAACCACATAGTCAGTTTTGTGGATCTGGACCTCTTAACCACCAGACCATGGGGATGGCCTTTTTTTTAAAAAAAAAAAAAAAAAAGCTTTTTCACAACTGTTTAAAGAGCTACAATCTATATACAGCAAAGAGAACAACAAACTGACTTGAGATTTTTTTACCAGGTTTTCTTGTTAATTCCAGTTACCTAAATCACATCATATACTCACATAACATACTAATTTTGTTTTGTTGCACCAAAAAGGGCCCAAACAGTAAATGTTAAATCTATGAATATTGCATATAAGCTACAGAACTTACCTGCTTTCAGTAAGGAATAAACCTGGAAGTTTAGTAATAAGAATTAAAGACTCTACTATTCCTATTTTTATGTTACTGTTAACTATATTATTGAGTACTTATTTCATGCTGGTTAGATTCAAGTTGAATTCTTACAACAACTATGAAGTACTCATCATTTTCTCCTTTTTTTTTGAGAGGTTTTTGCTATAGGGTGCATGTACTCTCCAGACAGACAGAGAGACAGAAAGTGAGAAATCACAGCCCTCCCCCCCCCCCCAAGGGGAATGGCCATGCCACAATCCCTTCTTTTCTATTCTCCTCTCGGGATCTTGGGCACACATGTACACGTTCCTGGCATGAGTTTAAGCCACCGGGTCTGGGACTCGAACCGTGGTAAACCACATGGGAGTCCAGCGACTTACCCATTACACCAACTGCTGGTCCCCATTTTCTTCATTTTATAAATAAAAAAACAGGCATACAGAGTGATGAAATAGCTCAGCTTGCTAGAGACCAAACAGGGGGGATATAGTAGAGACAGAATTTGAATCTAGGCCGTAAGGCCCAAACTCTTGGTTCTTTACCATTTGTGTACAGTATACTGTAGTTAAAGATAATTTTCACCTGGGGACCAGCAGTTAGCGTAATGGCTATGTCGCTGGACTCCCACGTAGTCAACCCTGGTTCGAGTCCCGGACCCAGTGGCTTAAACTTCCTCCGGGCATGTGTACATGCGTGCCCAAGATCCCGAGAGGAGAATGGAGGAGAAGGGATTGCAGCGTGGCCGTACCCCCCTGGGGGGTGATTTCTCGCTCTCTGTCTCTCTGGTGAGCACAAGCGCCCTATAGCAAAAAAAAAAAAAAAAAAGATAATTTTCACCTGTAGCTGACAAGTTGCTAAAATCAACAGAGTGGCACTAACATTGTAATATAGTTCTTGGTTTAGAATGGTTTTAGTATACAGCTTTTACACTTTTGAGGAAGGTATAAACTTAAATACTGGGAGCATGAATTTCAGCAAATAGTTATTCTATAAGAAGATAAAGAAGAAGTTGCAGAGATAATTTAGTTGATCAGTTTAAATGATGATTTGGATGTTGAGGGTTGGACTGCGACTCTTCTGACTTATAGGCTGGTGACATTGTTAGTAGTTTGTGTGACCCAGAGGCATATGTAAGACAGAGAAACTTTATTTAATCAAAGTAGGAGTGAAGTTTCTTGTGGAGTGAGGTGGCTTAACTATGTAGATGAGTAAAAATTGGGGACCCAATTCTGCTTTACTTGTACCACAAATTCTTTTTTTTTGGAGAGGTTTTCGCTATAGGTCGCGGGCGCTCGCCAGACAGACAGAGAGAGACATAGAGACAGAAAGCGATAAATCCCCCCCCGGGGGATGGTCACGCCGCAATCCCTTCTTCTCTATTCTCCTCTCGGGATCTTGGGCATACACGCACACGCGCCTGGCGTGAATTTTAAGCCACTGGGTCTGGGACACGAACCGTGGTCAACTATGTGGGAGTCCAGTGACATAGCCATTATGCTAACTGCTGGTTCCCTGTACCACAAATTCTTAATGCATGTTTATAAAAATACTAGGTAAGGGGACCAGCAGATGGCATTATGACTATGTTGCCGGACTCCTGTGTAGTTAACTGTGGTGGAAGTCCTGTACCCAGTGGCTTAAACCCAAGCCCGGCGCATGTGTGTGCGTGACCAAGATCCCAAGAGGAGAATGGAGAAGGGATTGCGGTGTGGCCATCACCCCTGGGGGATAATTTCTCACTTTCTGTCTCTCTGTCTCTCTGCCTTTCTGGTGAGCACACGTACCCTATAGCAAAAACCTCCCCCCCTCCAAAAAAAAAAATAGGTTGGAAGTTACAAGATTTCACACTCTTTTTAATTCAGAAAGGTTGGTATTCTCATTAAATTTCTACTCTCTCTCTCTTTTTTGACGTTGCCAAAAAGTACACTAAATAAATAAAGTATACTGGAGAGCAAGCTTTTGGAAAGAAATAAAAATTTAACTCAGAACTCACCCACTATCAATGCCATATGAATAACTGATTTGAAGAGGGTGAGTCAGTAGTTGTTGTGTTAACATGTGAGAGCTGAATGCTGCTTATTAGGGTTATGGCAAGGGAAAGAAGAGCAGGAATAGGTTTCAAGATTTTTTTTGGAGATCAAAGAGACAGGATTTGGTAATGAATTAGAAAGGAAAATAAACTGAGAATGACCCTCAGATTTCCTATATGAATAACTGGCTAGATGGTAATCCACTTCCTGAGATATGAAATACCGGTTGGGGTAGGTGAGGTATAAGAATTAGGAATTTGTCTTTGGATATGTTAGATTTGAGCTGTTTGTAAGACATCTAGATGGAAATGTGAAACGCATAGCTAGATATTTACTCTAGAGTTCAAAAGAGAACTTTCAGCTTGAGATACGCATGTAAAAATGACATTTAGAACCATAGGGATGAGTGATAGCAAGAGAGAACCTCTAGAGAGAGCATCAAGGACAGGCCCGAATGCCAACCAGTTCTAATATCGAGGAGTCTTATATCGCAGGAGAATTAGGTAGAGAAGGAATACCTAGTGAGATATGGGGAATCCAGGATATTTAAGACTTAGAATATTTAACTTATTTAAGGGAGATTCTTTCTGTGGAAATTACCCAAGGATATTTAAATAAGATCGTAAGATTTTAGGAACATATAGTTGTTAAGAAATAGTGGGACCAACTTAGGGATTCAATAAAAATAACCTGAAAATGACAGTCATATAGCAGGCCCAAGAAAGAGTCACTCCAAATGAGAGCGGGAAAGTAAGTGTCCTTTTTGAAGATTGTTGTCAAGAAGAATGGTGTAGGTTGTTCATAGATGATTCACTAAGAAATGGGAAGAAAGGGCCGGTAGGTGGTGTGGTGGTTAAGGGTACTGGACTCCCACATGGCCGACCACGTTTCGAGTCCTGGGCCTGACAGCTTGCTTTCTCACTTTCCCTCTCTTTCTTTCTCTCTCTCACTCTGTTCTTCTCTGGTCAAATTAAAATAAATAAATGAATAAATAAACAAAGTTAAATAAAATAACTTAAACAAAAGAAATGGGAAGAAAATACCAGTGGTATGGTACATAAGGGTCAGATAATGCCAAAAGATAATGAGAAGACCTAGATAAAAACATAAGGCGGTTATGATCCATGCAATGTGAACGTGATGGAATGTGAGCAAAAAACATCAATTTGACTAATCCTAAGTGTATAAATATATTATGTAAAATTATACAGGTAATCAATAGAAGTATTAAAAATGATAGTAAATTAATCCACAATTGGAGAGGAGGATGAGTGAGCTAAATATTTTAAAATAGGAAGTCAATTGAAAATGTCTAGAGTTGAAAATGATGAAGGTAACCAGCAAAAAAATTAAGAGTAAAAATAAATTGTTATGTGGGGTTGCCAGAGGGGAGTGGAATCTGAGGTAAGGAAATGGGAGTGAGCAAGGCTTTTTGTTATTATTTTTTTTAATTTAAAAGTCTGTACTGTTTGATTATTTATCACATGTGTTGTTATGAGATGGTGCAAAAAAAGGTAACGGAAGATAAGCTAATGAGGATAGAGTTCTGGTAACACACACCGATGTAATTTGATTACAAATGTCTAGAAAAACAATGGGAAGTCAAGAGTTTCGTTCTCCCTCCTACATGCATTCTCTTCCTTTCTTCCTATTGAAATGAGAGCTACTACAGAATGTTTGTATTCTGAAGGCATTGTTCCAGCAGAATAGTGCTTTTCAGTTTATTCTCCAGGTCTGCAGTTTAAGCATCACCTAGGAATTTACAAAATACACATTTTTGGGCCTATCCCAGATTTATTGATTCAGAAATGTTAGGGATAGAGCCATCAGTCTGTTTTAACAAGCCCTCCAAGGTGTTTTGTATGTTTACTAGTGTTCAAGACCCACTGTAGTGGAGTATTATGTAAGAACGGAAATATTACATTGTATGTTTCACTAATTCTGTATACTTTCCCAAATATCTAACTTAAACCCTTTTTCTTTCTTTGTTTAGGTCAGATGCTGAAACAAAAAGGGCTTTAGAAGAATTGACTGAAAAAATTAATGAAGCCCAGAAACAAGAAGTGGTAAGAATTCTTTGTTTCTAAAAAGTTACATATTTATGTAGATGGTAGGAGGTTGGCTGGGCTGGTCATAAAGAATCATAATGAGTCTTAGTACAAGTTTAGCCTTTTGGGTGGTATGCATATGCCATTTTGTCCCAAAATATGTTCTTGTACCTTTCATAAAATATTCATAAATTTTAGGTATTTAAGTTTGAAATATCAAAGTAGTAGTATATTACAGACAAAATTAACATTTGCTCTTATTTTTGGATATTACGAGCATTTGAAAGATACTTGAAGTTTTTTTTTTTTTTAACAGAGATTTTTGCCATAAAGTGTGTGTGCTTCATTGAGAGACAGAGAGACAGAAAGACAGAAAACAAGAAGTCACCCCCCAGGGGGTTGGCCATGCCTTAGGCCCTTCTCGTCCATTCTCCTCATGGGACCTTCGGCAAACATGCACATGTGCCTGGTGTGACTTTTAAGCTGCCAGGTCCAGGACTTGAACCATGGTCAACGATGTGGACCTCCAGCGATGTAACCATTATGCCATCTGCTGGTTCCAGATACTTTAAATTTTACTGGCTTTGTAATTCTGTAACTTATATTAAATGAATTTGAGAAATGCAGAATGCCTTTCGTAGCAGTTCTTTTTTTTTTTGAAGTCCCATTTATCAATTTTTTTTTTTTTTTGGAGAGGTTTTCGCTATAGGTCGCGTGCGCTCGCCAGACAGACAGAGAGAGACATAGAGACAGAAAGCGATAAATCACCCCCCGGGGGATGGTCACGCCGCAATCCCTTCTTCTCTATTCTCCTCTCGGGATCTTGGGCATACACGCACACGCGCCTGGCGTGAATTTTAAGCCACTGGGTCTGGGACACGAACCGTGGTCAACTATGTGGGAGTCCAGTGACATAGCCATTATGCTAACTGCTGGTTCCCTGTACCACAAATTCTTAATGCATGTTTATAAAAATACTAGGTAAGGGGACCAGCAGATGGCATTATGACTATGTTGCCGGACTCCTGTGTAGTTAACTGTGGTGGAAGTCCTGTACCCAGTGGCTTAAACCCAAGCCCGGCGCATGTGTGTGCGTGACCAAGATCCCAAGAGGAGAATGGAGAAGGGATTGCGGTGTGGCCATCACCCCTGGGGGATAATTTCTCACTTTCTGTCTCTCTGTCTCTCTGCCTTTCTGGTGAGCACACGTACCCTATAGCAAAAACCTCCCCCCCTCCAAAAAAAAAAATAGGTTGGAAGTTACAAGATTTCACACTCTTTTTAATTCAGAAAGGTTGGTATTCTCATTAAATTTCTACTCTCTCTCTCTTTTTTGACGTTGCCAAAAAGTACACTAAATAAATAAAGTATACTGGAGAGCAAGCTTTTGGAAAGAAATAAAAATTTAACTCAGAACTCACCCACTATCAATGCCATATGAATAACTGATTTGAAGAGGGTGAGTCAGTAGTTGTTGTGTTAACATGTGAGAGCTGAATGCTGCTTATTAGGGTTATGGCAAGGGAAAGAAGAGCAGGAATAGGTTTCAAGATTTTTTTTGGAGATCAAAGAGACAGGATTTGGTAATGAATTAGAAAGGAAAATAAACTGAGAATGACCCTCAGATTTCCTATATGAATAACTGGCTAGATGGTAATCCACTTCCTGAGATATGAAATACCGGTTGGGGTAGGTGAGGTATAAGAATTAGGAATTTGTCTTTGGATATGTTAGATTTGAGCTGTTTGTAAGACATCTAGATGGAAATGTGAAACGCATAGCTAGATATTTACTCTAGAGTTCAAAAGAGAACTTTCAGCTTGAGATACGCATGTAAAAATGACATTTAGAACCATAGGGATGAGTGATAGCAAGAGAGAACCTCTAGAGAGAGCATCAAGGACAGGCCCGAATGCCAACCAGTTCTAATATCGAGGAGTCTTATATCGCAGGAGAATTAGGTAGAGAAGGAATACCTAGTGAGATATGGGGAATCCAGGATATTTAAGACTTAGAATATTTAACTTATTTAAGGGAGATTCTTTCTGTGGAAATTACCCAAGGATATTTAAATAAGATCGTAAGATTTTAGGAACATATAGTTGTTAAGAAATAGTGGGACCAACTTAGGGATTCAATAAAAATAACCTGAAAATGACAGTCATATAGCAGGCCCAAGAAAGAGTCACTCCAAATGAGAGCGGGAAAGTAAGTGTCCTTTTTGAAGATTGTTGTCAAGAAGAATGGTGTAGGTTGTTCATAGATGATTCACTAAGAAATGGGAAGAAAGGGCCGGTAGGTGGTGTGGTGGTTAAGGGTACTGGACTCCCACATGGCCGACCACGTTTCGAGTCCTGGGCCTGACAGCTTGCTTTCTCACTTTCCCTCTCTTTCTTTCTCTCTCTCACTCTGTTCTTCTCTGGTCAAATTAAAATAAATAAATGAATAAATAAACAAAGTTAAATAAAATAACTTAAACAAAAGAAATGGGAAGAAAATACCAGTGGTATGGTACATAAGGGTCAGATAATGCCAAAAGATAATGAGAAGACCTAGATAAAAACATAAGGCGGTTATGATCCATGCAATGTGAACGTGATGGAATGTGAGCAAAAAACATCAATTTGACTAATCCTAAGTGTATAAATATATTATGTAAAATTATACAGGTAATCAATAGAAGTATTAAAAATGATAGTAAATTAATCCACAATTGGAGAGGAGGATGAGTGAGCTAAATATTTTAAAATAGGAAGTCAATTGAAAATGTCTAGAGTTGAAAATGATGAAGGTAACCAGCAAAAAAATTAAGAGTAAAAATAAATTGTTATGTGGGGTTGCCAGAGGGGAGTGGAATCTGAGGTAAGGAAATGGGAGTGAGCAAGGCTTTTTGTTATTATTTTTTTTAATTTAAAAGTCTGTACTGTTTGATTATTTATCACATGTGTTGTTATGAGATGGTGCAAAAAAAGGTAACGGAAGATAAGCTAATGAGGATAGAGTTCTGGTAACACACACCGATGTAATTTGATTACAAATGTCTAGAAAAACAATGGGAAGTCAAGAGTTTCGTTCTCCCTCCTACATGCATTCTCTTCCTTTCTTCCTATTGAAATGAGAGCTACTACAGAATGTTTGTATTCTGAAGGCATTGTTCCAGCAGAATAGTGCTTTTCAGTTTATTCTCCAGGTCTGCAGTTTAAGCATCACCTAGGAATTTACAAAATACACATTTTTGGGCCTATCCCAGATTTATTGATTCAGAAATGTTAGGGATAGAGCCATCAGTCTGTTTTAACAAGCCCTCCAAGGTGTTTTGTATGTTTACTAGTGTTCAAGACCCACTGTAGTGGAGTATTATGTAAGAACGGAAATATTACATTGTATGTTTCACTAATTCTGTATACTTTCCCAAATATCTAACTTAAACCCTTTTTCTTTCTTTGTTTAGGTCAGATGCTGAAACAAAAAGGGCTTTAGAAGAATTGACTGAAAAAATTAATGAAGCCCAGAAACAAGAGTTGGGACAAATTCTTTGTTTCTAAAAAGTTACATATTTATGTAGATGGTAGGAGGTTGGCTGGGCTGGTCATAAAGAATCATAATGAGTCTTAGTACAAGTTTAGCCTTTTGGGTGGTATGCATATGCCATTTTGTCCCAAAATATGTTCTTGTACCTTTCATAAAATATTCATAAATTTTAGGTATTTAAGTTTGAAATATCAAAGTAGTAGTATATTACAGACAAAATTAACATTTGCTCTTATTTTTGGATATTACGAGCATTTGAAAGATACTTGAAGTTTTTTTTTTTTTTAACAGAGATTTTTGCCATAAAGGGTGTGGGCTTCATTGAGAGACAGCGAGACAGACAGACACTTAGGCCCTTCTCGTCCATTCTCCTCATGGGACCTTCGGCAAACATGCACATGTGCCTGGTGTGACTTTTAAGCTGCCAGGTCCAGGACTTGAACCATGGTCAACGATGTGGACCTCCAGCGATGTAACCATTATGCCATCTGCTGGTTCCAGATACTTTAAATTTTACTGGCTTTGTAATTCCTTTAAATTTTACTGGCTTTGTAATTCTGTAACTTATATTAAATGAATTTGAGAAATGCAGAATGCCTTTCGTAGCAGTTCTTTTTTTTTTTAGTTGTAAACTTTATTAAAAAAAAAATACATGGAAGAACTACCAGAAGAATAAATTTTTAAAAATTTATTTAAAAAATTTTTTAATTTTTAATGAATTAATTTACATTCATTCACTGAGCATTGTTACAGCAAACAAAATGTGATTTCCCATCTGGAATATACTGGATATCATACATGTTATCATCAATAATTTTCCATTTCTAGTTTCATATATATATATATATATATGTATATTTTCCTATCATAGCAGTTCTGTAGCACACCCCAAGAAATATTTTCAGATTATCTCACATAAGTAGTCACGATTGCTACAAAGACCTTCTTGGTATCTGTTTTTGTTTAATATTGTGCCAATTGGAAAGACCGTTAATTACTAAATTTTATTCTCTTAGATTGTTTTCACTTGTTACTTGGTGATTTATTTATTTATTTATTTATCTATCTTATCAGATTAGTACCCTTGGTGGAATTAAGGTAGAAAAATAAAGTGCATGTAGTGTCCATTTCTTTGTATTGCCAAAAACATTTTTTTTTTTTTGAGGAGACAATCAAAAGAAATTATCACTAACCTTTGCAAAAATGTCAGCCTCAGGAACAATATGTATTCATGCGTTTCTCATAATACCTTTTGACTTTTCAAGTTAAAGAAGTTAGCAGGATTTTTTTCCCTTAGTATATTTTATTTAATTTGACAGTTTCTTGGTAAAAGCTTAGCTTTTCTGTAGTTGTTGATTTTTTGTTTATAGTTTCTTACATAGATATGGTGGGCCCATTATTGAGTTTAATTTATTGCATGTGCTAAGAGACTGATGGGCTGGCTCTATTTTCAGAGATCATCATGATCACTATGATTTATTTATTTA